AAACTAAAATGGATACAATTAATAAATTACTTGTAATGTAAATTCGGCTTACTGATCCTCACTGTGCACAACCTACATAGCAAATTGATATAAAATAAGTTTGGAACAACGGCATAAATGTCATGCTAAAGAAATTGGAAATTTAAGAAAAAACACTGAAACGTTCCAGAGACAACGTCGATGTTTTCTTTTTGACTGTAAAAATAGAACTTTAGCATTTACAATTACATCAGCAGATATTATTAATCCGTGACCTGGTATTTTTGTTTTATTTTTATTGTAATCACCAACTGTTTATGTCGAAGCAAATTAAGTAGCAAACAGTGCGTTAGATTACAGGGAGAGATAGTAAGTATTTGAATTAATAGAGTAACTACTAATGAGTCTGAACAGTTACATACATGTACGACCATGGAAACTCAAACATATGCAATATTCAAGAGTGTTACTATCAACGCAAGTCGTCCGTTGGATTTGCCTGAGTGGCGTGTAAACTGGTTTGTTTCAAGGCGACATCTTTTATAAAATCAAGGTGCGTATACAATGTTCAATTTCAATCAATGTGCGAATGCAAGCTATATACGAAGGAGATTGCATGGTTGAATTATAGTATAATACATTTTAGTTTTACATCAAGCTACAAAGATAGAAAATTAAATTCAATTAGAAGTATTATTCAAAAATACAAATATGCAGACTAACAAGAAAGGGTGTGAATACAAATGTGGAAAACCACTTAGTAATGAACAGCCTGCACTATGGGATGGTCAATATACATGTATATTTGAATTTTCAATTGTGAACGTATTTTGTCACTTTAGAAATTTAGTAAATTAGAATAATTAGTTTTCGAATTCGAAGGTATTTTCCTCCTTATACCACGTTACTCAATTTATAACATCATGGGAGCAAACACTTCTATTTCACACATATGTAGGACAACTGGTGTTTCGGTTTTGTCAACAGTAACATAGCGACCGAGCGTATTTTCATCACATTCAAATGAAATCGTCGCTTGCAACGCAGTAGCTTGGTCTATCGCTGAACCGCACTGAATAGCGTCCACCTCGTCAACAGTATTAGTAATCAGGACAACTGCCGTCTCTATTTTGTGACCTGTATACAAAAAAGGTTACACATTTATAATATGTTGAATGGACATTCAGTGTATTTCGCAGATTGTATAATGTTCAAGTATTGTTTATATATAATTTATTTGACAAGTGATGGAATCTACTGCATATACTATACTTCAGTTT